GGGGGCGGGAAAGGAAGAAGGGAAGAGTCGAAAGGCGGGACGCCGTCCGGGCGGGGAGCTCTGACCAAGCAGCAGCTGCAGCCGTGGCGGCTCCGGGCCGGGCTGCAGGGGAACCCGATGCACGCAACACCTCGCCTCCCCGGCAAAGGCTTCCAAGGTGAGCGCGGCGGCGGAGTTGCCGGTTCTGCGCCCCTCCCGCATCGTCCAGCCCGCCCCCTCTTCCCCTCCAGCCCAGCCTTTGTGGCGAGGGAGGGGGCGGCCCCCCGCTGCCCGCCTCCGTCCCACCGTGGCGGGTGTGGGCACAGGGGACCCTCTCGTAGGGAAGGACGCCCAGCCGTTCTCCGTTTCTCTCTGGACCGGCCGCCACGCTCTCCGGGCCTGTTTATGGCCTGGAAAAACTGCCTGGCGTTCTCCACATTGGGCGTAAATGTGGTGTCGGCCAAAGACGAATTGTGGCATATAAACCTTGGAAGAGTTCTGCCTATAGGTTTAGGGTTTGCTCTCGTCGCGCTCCTAAGTGCTTCCATCGGCTGCTTGCCTCTCGCCCGCTACCCACCGGATTTCCTCTCTGTGGTAGCGGAGGGACTGGGGATGCCTCTGGGACGTGTGTGTGGGGGGGTTTCTTCTTTTTGATCGGGCCCCTTTGTTCCCATAGCGAGTACTGATAAAAGCTTGGGCAAGAGACTCAGAAAGTGCAGAAGTCCGATTTTTCTGTTGGAAGTTTTTTTTTTCTATCAAGGCCCAGCGTTTACTGGAAGAGGTATAGCAAAAGTGCCTCTGAGGTTCTACAGAGTCCATTTTGTAATTGCTATGTCTGTGCTACCAGATTTTACAGGAAGAAGTGGCTCCCTAGACTAGGTTGAGATTGATGGCCCCATCCCCTTCTCCCTAAGAACTGAATGTTTTTTTTTTAATTAATCTTCACTCTGTTTTTATAGATGATTTCTTCTTTCAGTGGGCCCATCCCATTGCTTTGCTTCCCCAGATACTTCCCCATATGTCTTCTGTGCATACTTCTAAGGTTTCCATTGGAGGTCTTCTTGATCAGCGCTTCTGTCTGCTGTGTGTAACACACACAGCATCTTTGACTGCAACATACATAAGATGATCTCTCAATTCTCTCTATTGGAACAGATAGTTAAGATAGAGAGGAGGAAGATACCTGGCTAGGTAATGGTATTGCTCTGATGGGGAGCTCAAGAAGAGTGAGCTGCTGTTGTGGAAAAAAAATTGCCGGTCCTTTTGACCTTGCTTCATTCAGTCATACCATTGTGAGATTGGTAGAAAATGTATTGGGATGGAATTTCTACCCATCATACGACATACAGTACGTTCCTATGTCTCTGAATGATTTTAATTATAGAAGATTCCTGAATCCCAGTTGTTTAACAATGGTAAGAGCAAAATCCTAAGTCTGCAACCTGGGGAATATATTGGGTTGTTAATTTTAAAAAAATCCGCAATATTGAAGGTTACCAACTCAACTATATATAACCTGTGAGCTGAATAGCTAAAGAAGTCTGTTAATAGGTATGAATCTTGCCTGAAAGAATTATTTAAGCAAATCATTTATTTCATTTTGAATTTTCTCAGAGAGAGAGAGATATCTTGTACTGACCTAAAATTGTTGGTTTCAGTGAGCTATGATGTCTATTACATTGAAATGCAAATTGCTATCTGAGAGATAGCAACTTATGTCAATTTCTTGTTTTATTAAGGTGGTCCTTCATAAGATTTATGAATGTTTTATTGAGGCAGTTTTGAGGAAAAAATCCTCCTCCCCAATCCAAGCCATTCCTGTACAAACATTTATATCATTAATTATATTTGTCTCTTGCCTTTCTCCCAAAAAGTTCAAAGCAGTGTAAACATTCTTCCCCTACCCACCCTTATTCTCTTAATAGCCTGGTAGTTCAGTAGCTGGCCCAAAGTCATTTAATGAATTTTCATAGCTGAGTAGTGATTTGAATCTATATGTCTCTAGTTTTAGTCAGGCATTCTTTTCTGTTAAAAATAGTTTTAAATGTCAAAACTTATATCTACTAGTATTCTGTTTGGAAAGATTTTATTTTTTATTTACTATGCTTAACTGAAGTTGCACAAAAAAAAAAAGATGAATTGGTGATTAAGCTTCCTTTCTGTAAAACATATTCTCTGTCAAGTCAGCTGTTCTTATACTTGGCATGAAGTAAGTTATCCAAGGACAGCTTTCCAGGAAGTTTAATTTGCTTGTGGAGGGACTAAATGCTTCCTGAAAATGTACTTCAGAAAAACATATGTAACATGTCAAAATAGATGAGATACAAGCTCAAATTATTCTGTCCTAATTATAGTAATTTTACAGTGTTAACAAAATACTAATGAACTTTTTCTAACGTTTAAAGGTTTTCTTTAAGTCAATTATTTTTCTGCATATGAAGATACATTCTTTTTTATTCTCAATCCCTGTTAGTTCCCCCTGTTTTCCTATTCTACTTCATGCCATTTCCTTTTTAATTTCCATTTCTTTCTGCTCTAGAGCTTCAATATTAGTTCCTTTCTTCTGCTTGAAATCACTTTTTTGGATTTGTTCTTGTACCTTGTTCCATGTCTGCTCTGCCCATTTCTTATATTCCTCACAAACCTAGCTGAAAAATGATTCAGATTCCATGTTGAGCCATAGTTGAAAATGGTATTTCTGAATCCCTGGGGAAGAAGGCCAAATGGGTAGTGATGTAGGCATTTTCTCCCCGCATTCCATCTCTTAATGGGCATGGATGGGATTTCTGTGGAGTTAGTTGTTCCCAAAGGATGTGGCAAAGAACTGCAAACCGTGGGTACTTGGAATCCCCCCATGAAGTACCAACGGAGCAGGAAGGAGCTCTTACTTTATTTTGTTCAGGTCTATTGTGAAGAAATGGTCAGAAAGAAAAGATGACCTTGAATAAGGTAACAGATCTCGGGTAGAGAGACTTAATAGCATTAAGTGATCTGTAACTAATCTACTTTTTTTTTCAATTTTAATTTAATACTGTAGAGTTGAAAAGGGAGTAGTTAATTTGATTGAGTAGGCTTATTTCTCTCTTGTATTCTCATTTGCCATTGTTGTTCTCAAGCAACTGCAATGGAGTTGATATATAGGCCTGTAAACAAATGTTCAAATATAAATCTTCTAAAGTAAATGCAGACAAACCTAAGCATTGGAAGATGGAATCATGGATTTCTCAGCATAAGATGTAGCTTTGCTGCATTGATGTTTATTTCTTTACCACAGCAGAAAAATATGACTTTTTTAAAAGAATCTATTTTAATTAAGGATTTACTTAATTTTGCTTTTTTTTTTTTTTTTTTTAGATATCTTATTTCTGGAGTTTAAGCCATAGCAGAGAAGGTTTTAGAAATATTTGTGAGTGAAAGTGAGATCTGTGTATTGATATAAAAGATGGTATACTGTATATATCTTATAGACTAAATTGTCATGTCTTCTGTACATATTTAATAGGCTTATGTTAAGTTTTTACAGTTAGAAATTAACTTTGCTACAATGACAATTGAGGCAACGTAGAAGAATAAACCTTCAAAGAGACATAAGAACAGTGGATTAGGAGGAGCATGAGTTATGAATTTGTGCAAATAGTTATATAGGATTTTTTTCCTTTTTAATGTTTTAAAATTATTTTAAACATGTTCTTTTTATGTTTGGAAGAAAGTAATTTGAATAGATTGTCACAAGATTTCATTTTTATATATGTTTACTATATACTTTAGGCAGTTGGGTACAAACAGGCTTTTCTAGAATGAAATAAAAATGTCACCTTTGTAAAGACTCAAGTATTAGGACAAGAATACTACATAATTTAAACAAAGTGAAGTAACTGGATTAGCATTTAGCCCTCAGTATTTCCCTTTTCAAAGTAGGGTAATTAATTGCCAGTAGCAAGAAAATAAAGCACGGTTAAGAACTTGGGAACTAGGTAGATTGTAGTACCTAGCCAACATTGGCTAATCTCAAAAAGTAAACAGGGTTAGACTGGGATTGTACTTAGGTAGAAGGTCATCAGGAAATCTCAAGGCTGGTGATAGACTGGAACAAAACAAAACAAAAATCCAGAAATCAGTGAAAATAACTTCTATCCTATTGCCAAGAAAATTACATGGATTCATCCATGAAGTCACTAGGAGTTTAGCTCAGCTTGAGGGAGTCTTTATTATTTTTAAGAATTTGGGGAGAAAAATAATAAAAACACGATAAACCTAATTCCAAATAAGTTTGGCTAGGTTTGTATACATTTTCATATCTTTTAAATGTATTTTCCTTTATATGAGTTTTTGTATAGATGCATGTGGAAATTGTAAAATGCATCATATAATAAATGCATGTGAAGTATGTGTATATCCCTTAGGGACATATGAATGCCTGCTAGTTCTTCCTGAGGCATGTAGATGTGGTGGCAAATTTAAAGGAGATACTGTAATCCCTTTAGGACAACATGAAATATATCCTTGCTTTTACAAATGAATTGGGTTGTTTAAAGTATCTTGTATTCCTGTAACTTCCAATGTCAAACTGAACATTTTAGCTTATTTTTTAATTATGTTTTGAATATGGTTTTCCTTGACTGGAATGTGGCTTTTAATGCATATCAGTATTTCTGCCACAACTTCCTAGAAAAATAACCCCTTTTCAAGCTGTTGATAATCAGCACGCTAGGTTTATGTCATCATGGCATATACTGTAAGATTGTCATCTAAAAAGTATACTATGTGTTTCTGGACATATTATCTTAATCTTAATTAATATATGATCTTAATCTTTCAGAATAATATCGTGGGGTGTATATGCATGTATATATCTTTTAAAAATTAAAGTGCAGTAAAGTAACTATTAATATGTTTTATAGCATATATGGGCATTAACAAGTATAGATTAATCCATGCTGTTTCTTTTTTCTTATAATTGTTATTAAAGTTTAAAAATACAAAGATAAAAAACTAATACAAACTAAGAAAATATAAAAAGTAAAAAAAATGAAAAGTGCAGAGAAAGGGAGGAAGGAAAGAAAAAATGAGAAAAAAGATATTTAAAGAAATAACTTCCCCTTTCTTCAAGACAAGTACAAACAATTTCAGTAACTGATCACCTTTTCTAACATTTCAACTAAATATCTCATCTTTTAT